GAAAAAAAGTTTTTAGTGTGTTTGCGGGGGGGGGGGGGGAAGTGCTTGATCAAAACAGTCACAAGAAATCTGTGACAGACTTGGTGCCACTTTTCTACTGAGCAAGGATCATGTATTTTACTCGTATTAGCTCAGCACAGCTGTCATGTACTGTAAGATACCTGTGCCAGGTGGGCCATACAGAATGACTCCTTTGGGTGGTTTTATACCCATCTCTTCATAATACTCAGGATGGGTGAGAGGAAGCTCCACAGACTCCTGCAGCACAAGAAAAACAAACTTCAGTATTTGTAAAAAGCCAGTGCTCTCCACTAAAGACCTGTGGGGATCCTGAGAACAGCATCAAAAAAAGTAATTTCTGAAAGTAAAAAACTTCAATTTGAAGACTAACCTTGAAAAATAAGAATATCTGCTGCCTCAAATTCTAAGGCAGACAGCACTCTATCTGAACAGGTCTTCCTATTGTTTTCACTTGACATGGGGAAGAGAAGCAGTGAGTGTTCCCTCTCCTCCAACCTCAACTCATCACGCTGAGTTTAGAACCCAGGAGTTCCTGACTGCCAAACTCTCATGGAGGACCTTGTGTTGGAGGGACCTTTCATGACAGGATGCCTTCCACCATGAGTTACCAGATACTACAGATTAGTATTTTAAGAGCATATGTGATTTTGGATGCTTGACCAAAGCAAAAGCTTGAGTTTTACCAGGGCTAAGATAGAGCTCTGCTGGTGGGAAAAGAAAACCCCACCAACCCAAGAACCAAACACACAACAAACAAATGCAAAACCAAAACAAGCCAGAACAAGACTACCCACCAAATCACTAGATTGCCTGGCATCAGGCGCTCATACCAACCTCTGCACTTTTTACAGTTTCACTCCCACCTTGCCACCATCAACATCTTTACATGTTGCAAAATGTAAGTTATCACACAGATGTTATGAGCTCAGGGCTCGACAGCTTGCCCAGCAACTCTGCAAGGTTTCTGGATGCACAGGCTGTGGACAGGTATGCTACCCACTTCAGAAATTTAAGTCCATGAGTCTGCTTAGCAAAGTCAAACGGAGAAACGCACCAGCAAGACACAGTAGCTGGCCCTGCTGTCCCCCTTCCAAGCTCCCAGCACAACAGCCACGTTGCCAGCCCACTCAGCAGTGTGGATTAGTACAACTGAATACCTTGATTTCTTGAATCTGGTTGTCAAGGCCACCAATGTCAGCATAAGTTTCTTGAGGAGCTTTCTCCACTTTCATCACAGTAACTAAAGGATCTGTGTCATCCATCAGGACTCCTATCACAGCATGAACCTAAATCAAGCATGAAGAGTTGTCAAAGAAAGCAAGGAGCATTATTAATACAAGCTCAACCCTAAACCAAAGGCCTGTCTGTTTAGGTGCAGGAAATAAACAGCATTAGCTCCTAGACCTGACAATCCTGTGGTCTCAGAAGAAAAGGCCAGCTAAAAACAGGACAGGGACTTGTGCTTGGTCTCATGGAAAGAACTCACCTTATGATTCAGCAAAACAGAGCAGCCTGGCTCCAGCAGATCCTTGTCCACGAAGGACAGAATGCTGACGTAGTGTTCCGACCCGACCGAGGTGGACACGATGGCGTGGTTATCATCAATGATCTCCTCCAGGGTACCCACAGACATGGGTGTTCCCCTCAGATCATCTACCTTAGACCTTTCTTCCTGGTGTTGAGAAGAATCCAAGAAACAACTCAAGAACACAAGCAAACCCATTTCACTTCAAGTACAACCCTGGCTCACAAGCTCACACCAAACGGAACAGAACCAGTCTTTGCTACTGTTGCTTTGCTGCTCCAAGAGGCATAAGAGTATGGGCCAGTAAAAAACATCCACTGTTATTTTAGACCTGTCCTATTTAGGCAGTTTATGGATGTGCACAGCTAGAATATTCTCTTTCTTTCTTTATTCATGGATATCTTGACAGACTACCAAGAAACAAAAAGCACTGTGGCCTCATCTGTAGTACCCCACACTTAGACTAAAACTATTAAATCACTAGAAAAAAATTCTGTTTTATGGACAGCAATTGAGATTTAATGAAGAATTGTAACAGACATAATACATTTGCGCTGTCTTACAATCTCATGGTACTTTATTTAGCTTACTTTAAAGCACTTACTGTAATATTAAAAGTAAGGGTTCACTCAAACCTCACCTCTTGTTTTTCTTCCAAAGGTTTCATCTGTTCTTGATTCCTGATAAATTCTTCCTCCATTAAGAGGTAATCTTTAATTCTCTCCAATTTCAACAATTTGAGTCTACACTGTGTGTGAGGAGTCACTGTAACCAAAGCAGAATCATAGTATTTTAGTCCAGGTTTCACACAATACCAACCACTCACCAATTTATCACCACAAATTCTGCTTTATTTTCTGACACTAATTTCTACCTCAGCAGCAACTAGTGCTTTGCTGGTCCCATGTAACTGTAGTGAAAAAACAGCTTTAAGGGTAACATTTCCTCCGGCCTTATTTCAATTTCTCTCCCTCTTACCCAGGAATCTATGGACTGCACCTGGCACAACCATCATCTCATTTTGGGTTTCCACATTCATTAGAAATAAAACTAGATCCAGCCTCCTGCCCAGTCCCCTGTGACCTGCAGAGGCCTGGGGAGAGGGAAGCTCAGGCCCCTGGGGCACCCGCGGCGCTGCCGGCACCTACCCAGGGGCAGCTTGCTGGCAGCATCTGGTCCCTTGGTTTTCTTCTTCTTCTTCCCCACTCTGGTTGGAACTGGGGGTTCATATTTCTTCTTCTTATCCTTATTCATATAGAGAATTCCATGGGGAAAAAAAAATAAATCAATCAATACATCAGGAAATTAACAAGGAAAGAGCAGAGAGAGGCGAGTGAGCTGAGCTCAGGCGAAGCGGAGACATGACAGAACTGCCTCCTCCAGGGACCACAGGGAGAAGCCCCAGAGGAACAGGATTCGTGTTTTTTAAGGAAGTTAAACCAAACTATCCTCCCAATTATTTTACAGCCCCTTTTAAAATCTAGGTATCTGATAGTTTCTAGGGAATGTAGAACACAGAAGGCTAACACCTGAACTAAATCACAAACAGAACTCCTGGAGGAGAGGATGAGGAAGATGCTGAATC